CCTCTCGATCCTGTCACGGCTCTCTGCCGTGACAGGGGAGGGGCTGGATTCCCCCCTCCCCGCTCCGATCCGCCAGAGCTGACTGGCAGAACAGACGGGGGAGGGGGCGGGTACAGCTGGTTCTGCCTCTAGATAGGCAGAGCCAGCTGTCAGTCACGCAGCTGGGCGGATCTCAACGATGTCGGGATCCGTTCCAGCTGCGGCGTCTCAGTATACTGAGCTTAGGGTGACGGGAGGACGCTAGTTTGTGTCCTCCCGTTACCCTAAGGAGAACTATGGGGAAAAACACTGACCCCATAATTCTCCTTTTTAATATACAAACGCTTTTTGTTTTTGGTTTACGAATTATGCTCGTAAACCAAGGTATTACTGTATATATGTATAGAATCATGATCATCCAGTTAACCTCGACTGTGGTACTCTAGGGGGTGATAGGAGGTTTTCTCCTCTGAGATGTACGTCTTTTATACTTTCTATGCATATCTAATGCTTTTTATAAACTTATATATTTGTCCAATAAATGTATACTTTTTATATACTTCCGAGACTGAAGGTTATTGGACTTGTTCTTTCTGGAGCCAGCAAAAAACCCATCTTTCTCTTCCTTTTTCTTATTACAAATTAACCAGGGGTTGGCTCCCAGAAAGGGAGGATCTGTGCATCACAAAATACTTTTGCATCTCTGAATTGGTGCTGACACTGTCCTTCCTTCTGCAGGGGGGCTACGTCTGTTCCCCATGGTCCCTGTGTGTGTTGTAAAGTAGTCACCGCTCCAAGCTCCTCCCCCCGGGATGGACTACAATCTCAATACAAATGAGTAAACTAAACATGAGATTGCAGTCTATCACGGGGGGGGGGAGTTGGAGCGATGACTACTTTATAACACACACAGGTATCATGGGGAACAGACATAGCCCCCCCTCCAGAAGGAAGGACAGTGTCAGCACCAATTCAGAGATGATTGGAGGATCTACAGCCGAGTGATACACAAATAAGATACATTGTTGTTCAGAGTTAAAGAGTTAAAGTGACATTAAAGTCAAATATATTTTCCCTCCCCCCAATATTACTTAAAGCACCCTCCTTAAATAATGTTTCTTAATCCGATCTTCCTCTTCTTTCCTGTTGTTTTCATCTGTCCCTCCAGTGCTGCGGCGGGTCTCTGATCCAGCGCTGACTCCTCTGTCCTTGCTGGCACTTCCTGTCCCACGGTGTCTGCATGCGGGTGCACGCCATCCATAGACTTACCTTGAATGGAATTTTACGAGAATCGCAGGAAATCCCACGATCGTACGATAATCGTGCAGTGTATGGAAGGCGTGCGACCGTTTCTACTGTACGGTCGCACGACTTTTGTATTTCGAGCATGCTGGAAAACCCGCCGATAATCATACGCTTTTCGGCTGGTTTTTAGCATGATCGAGAGGTAACTGCCGAACGGGCCGGTGTGTGTGTGTGCACGCGCACACTGCCCGTTCAGCATTGGTCATCGGAAGCCCGCCCCTCAGCGGGGCGGGCTTGCGATGATCGCAGGTACGATCTACCTGTCCAAGATGGGCAGATCGTACGTTTTTTAAATTACTTTACAGCCCTCGCAAGACAAAAGTCTTGTGAGGGTTGTATAGTGTATGGGCACCTTTAACTGAACAAACTGAAGAGAGAAGCTGATTGGTTGCCACGTACATCTGCTCCAGTTTTGATAAATCCCCCCCCAATGTATATAGATAAAGCAGCAATGTCAGAGGGGATCGATTCATTTTCAGCTAACTGTCATTTTTTGTTTTACCTTTTGCAGCTCTGTACCGTCAGCTATGGAAAAGTGAAGCTGGTTTTCAATGTCGGGGGTTTCCCCGGATTCTAGTTTAGGAACAGATACAGATTTGAAGATGCAGATTCTGGTCTTGTCATCTTGGAACAAGCATGCACATATGAGGCGTCCTCACATCTAATACCGTGTTTCCCCGAAAATAAGACACTGTCTTATATTTTTTTTGGCTCAAAAAAACACACTATGTCTTTCGGGGTAGGTCTTATTTTATTTTTTTTATGTATAACAATCCAAATTTAATGCAAAACCAAATTAAATAATCCAAAATGGCAAAGTTTAAGAATAGGGTGATCAGGGCAATCAGGGGTGCCGTACCTTTGCAAGAGCAATTTGGTAACCGGAATGAGCGTAGCGCGCTTTCACTATGGATTACTCACAGGCGGAGTGCGTTTGGTATCACTCCGCCTGTGACAGGAGCCGGCTCTATAGAGGAAACATCGGCTTATGCGGCTTTGCTCCCTCCGCTGCCGCCTCGCTTCCTCTAGCGCCGGCTTCGTTGTCACCGCTGATTCTCTCACACGGCTCTTCAGGTTCCCCCTTATGCCACCACCGGCCCTGGGAATGGTCACAACTAGGTCTTATTTTCGGGGTAGGTCTTATTTTCAGGGAAACAGTGTATGCACATGCACTTCATCAATGACCTCAAATCTTATTTACAGTAGAACTGTCACATCCCATGCAGCTTAAAATGGAACTCAGAGTAGGAGGGATTTATCGAAAATCAGTGGGCGGGGCCTCGCTGTGGCCTGCTGCTAACTGGCAAGCTACAGGCTTGTGAATCTGCACTTCGTTTTTCCTTCGTTCTCCTGCAAAGTGTCACAAATACCAATTGATCTTTCCATCGAGATCCGCCTCCTGCAGCTTCCTGTGAACATTGTTACCGAATTCAGAGCAACGGTGTCACCCTCACATTGGCTGAGCCTGCTTGCACTACAGTGGGAGGATATTGCAGGGGATGTAGCTATCGCCATTGTCACTGTAGCTTGTCCATCAGCTGCTGGCTGCACCTGGTCCCGACCACTGCTTTTTAGAATAAGCCCAATGAAACCCCTCCACTGTGTACTGCAGTGTCTTTTGGGGCAAGCAAGTTTTTAGGACTGGTGGAGAACGCACAGATACACTGAATGAAGCAGAAGCAGGGAGATCCTTCCATTGCAGGTCCTCGGGTACGGCTTCCTCTCCAGCAAGGAAAACAGTGGCCAGCACAGTAAGGACATCACCGAATCTCACTCTACATCTGAGACTAGCAGTCAGAGGCCGCAGTGCCTGAGATGATCTCACATTGCAGATATACAGCCAAGAGGCTCAAGGCACAGGAAGTGCTCTGCTGTATGTCAGGTAGGATGTAAGAAAAAAGGTAAATATTTTAGGGTTCTTCTTAGGCACAGTTAGCATTTCTAGACCTTCTGTAAGATGGCAGTTTTTGCATTCAGGTCCACTTTAAGTGTGATTGCAAGGGATGCACACTGTCCATAGGGTCCATTATACATGTAGTGACCAGGGGTGCACACTGTCCATAGGGTCCATTTATACATGTAGTGACCAGGGATGCACACTGTCCATAGGGTCCACTATAAATGTAGTGACAGGGATGCACACTGTCCATAGGGTCCACTATAAATGTAGTGACAGGGATGCACACTGTCCATAGGGTCCACTATAAATGTAGTGACAGGGATGCACACTGTCCATAGGGTCCACTATAAATGCAGTGACCAGGGGTGCACACTGTCCATAGGGTCCACTATGAATGCAGTGACCAGGGGTGCACACTGTCCATAGGGTCCACTATAAATGTAGTGACCAGGGGTGCACACTGTCCATAGGGTCCAGTATAAATGTAGTGACCAGGGGTGCACACTGTCCATAAGGTCCACTATAAATGTGTTGACCAGGGGTGCACACTGTCCATAGGGTCCACTATAAATGCAGTGACCAGGGGTGCACACTGTCCATAGGGTCCACTATGAATGCAGTGACCAGGGGTGCACACTGTCCATAGGGTCCACTATAAATGTAGTGACAGGGATGCACACTGTCCATAGGGCCCACTATAAATGTGGTGACAGGGATGCACACTGTCCATAGGGTCCACTATAAATGTAGTGACAGGGATGCACACTGTCCATAGGGTCCACTATAAATGTAGTGACAGGGATGCACACTGTCCATAGGGTCCACTATAAATGTAGTGACAGGGATGCACACTGTCCATAGGGTCCACTATAAATGCAGTGACCAGGGGTGCACACTGTCCATAGGGTCCACTATGAATGCAGTGACCAGGGGTGCACACTGTCCATAGGGTCCACTATAAATGTAGTGACCAGGGGTGCACACTGTCCATAGGGTCCAGTATAAATGTAGTGACCAGGGGTGCACACTGTCCATAAGGTCCACTATAAATGTAGTGACCAGGGGTGCACACTGTCTATAGGGTCCATTATACATGTAGTGACCAGGGATGCACACTGTCTATAGGGCCCACTATAAATGTAGTGACCAGAGATGCACACTGTCTATAGCAGGAGCGCCTACTCCTGCTATAGACAATGTGCATCCCTGGTCATTATACCTAAATCGAACCCTATGGACAGTGTGCATTCCAGCTGGGCTGGAACTACAAATTCCATCATGTCTCTGGCTCTGGGAGTCATGCCTATGGCTGTCAGAGTCTTACAATGCTTCATGGGACTTGCTTTGAAGGAGAACTATGAGGTGAGTGATTTTCACTCACAATGAGACTGTCACAGGTCGGCTCAGTAATTTTCAGTATACCGTGAGCTGTAGCTCGCTATGTACTGAGCTTTGGGTGACGGGAGGACGCTAGTTTGTGTTCTCCCGTTACCCTTAGGAGAACTATGGGGAAAAGCCCTGACCCCATAGTTCTCCTTTAAGGAATGATATATTCCAAAATAAAGCCAAATATTTCTATAATAACCTGTAACCTCCGTGTCAGTCTGCTGGAGACGGATATCGTTCCCGGAGTTGGTATATTTACATTTTCAAGGATACCATCTGCTTTCATGTATATTTCCGAATGCTTATATAAGCTTATGCAAGAGATTTCCATCACATAACCAGAGGTAATCAGTAAACATTGATTTTTTTTTTTTTATTCAAAAAATATATAAATTGTCATTTTGACTTTCTTCTTCTTTTTTTTTTTTTTTTTTTACTGTTTTGTATTGAACTGCTGGCATCAAAGAACACAAGTGGTGTGAAGGTGCAGTAATATAATATAAAGTTTTCTGAAAATTACGGATGCACCGATACTAGTATCGGTGCCAATACCGAGTATTTGGGCGAGTACTCATACTTGCCTTAATGCTCCCAATGCCTATCCCAATACTGGAACTTCCGGTATCGGGAAGCCGGGCGGCGAGTCATTACACTCCACTTGACTTCCTGATTGGCCGGGAAGCCGGCTCTATGCTCCCTCGTCATCAGGGAGCATGGAGCCGGCTTCTCGGCCAATCAAGAAGCCGGGCAGTGTGTAATGACTCGCCGCCCGGGTTCCTGATTGGCCAGAAAGACAGCTCCATGCTTCCTCATCACCTGGTGATGAGGGAGCGTGGAGACAGCTTCCTGGCTAATCGGAAAGCTAGGCAGCGAGTCATTACATGCCACTTGGCTTCCCTAATGGGACTTCCGGTATCGGTATCAGCGAGAACCCCCCAAAAAATATCCGTACTCAAACGGTATCGGTGCATCCCTACTGAAAATGCTCACACCTTTCTTTTCCAGGTACTTTGTTGAGAGCGCCCATCCCGAAGTCATCCAGGACCTCCTGCAAGATTCCATCATCCGTGGCTGCAGACTCCGCAATGAGGAGGGCGAGGAAACCGAACTCATCACCGAAACGTATACCAGCAAGTCAGCGGTGAGTGACGTCCAATGATGTCGGTCTCTCTACTCTGACCTAAGCAGCTTCATCCCATTGTTGCTTATGACTCTCCCTGTGCTCTGGTTCTACAGATCTCTAAGGCCAGTGACCCCGCCAGCGCACCCTCCACCTCCCAGGTTCCCGAGACGCAGAATAAGGCCGATGTCCCTACTGACTTGATTGATTTTTACGAGCAGATGGACAAGGAGGAAGAGGAGGAGGAAGAAACACAGACGGTGTCCTTTGAGGTCAAACAGGTAACATTCTGTGACAGATGGCAACTCTTTTAAAGTGACACTAACTCAGGTGTTCGATCTTAAAATGCATTTAAGAATCTTAAAGGAGAACTATGGGGTCAGGGCTTTTCCCCATAGTTCTCCTAAGGGTCACGTAAGAACACAAACTAGCGTCCTCCCGTTATCCTAAGCTCAGTATACCGCGAGCTACAGTCTCATTGTCACAGGTCGGCTAGATCTATGAGGTGAGTGAAAAGCACTCACCTCATACTTCTCCTTTAACTCTGAACAACAATGTATCTTATTTGTGTATCACTCGGCTGTAGATCCTCCGATCATCTCTGAATTGGTGCTGACACTGTCCTTCCTTCTGGAGGGGGGATACTCTTGTTCCCCATGATCCCTGTGTGTGTTGTAAAGTAGTCACCGCTCCAAGCTCACTCCCGGGATGGACTGCATTTTCATATTTAGTTTACAAATTTGTATTGAGATTGTAGTCCATCCCAGGGGAGGAGGTTTGGGCGGTGACTACTTTACAACACACACAGGGACCATGGGGAAGAAAAGTTGCCCCCCTCCAGAAGGAAGGACAGTGTCAGAAAGATTTCAGAGATGATTAGAGGGTCTACAGCAAGTAAGATGCATTTTTAAGATTTAAGTCCTGAGTTTAGTGTCACTTTAAGGCAGGGGTTGGTTTTGATTGACTACAAGTTGATCTAGCCCTGTTATCCTAAAGGGGAACTCCCAGACAAACACAACTTTGTGGTCTAAATGCACACTAAATACACAGCTAGGTACAGTGGTGCCATTGAAGTTATTATTATTATAGAGGATTTATATGGCGCCAACAGTTTGCGCAGTGCTTTACAATATAAGGAAGACATTACAATCACAATACAATTCAAGACAAGCTGGTAAGGAGGGCCCTGCCCCTGAGGGCTTACAGTCTAAAAAAGTTCATATTGACGTTGATTCTGTTCACCTTTTGCAAATCCCTCTGATGGAAATCGTTCTCTTTCCTGATGCGCATTATCGGACAGCTACACCCGTCTGCCACTATAGGAATGGGATATCCTCTGGAATGCATTCCTATTTGAATAATGCACCTTCAAGGCACCGCCCAATTTTAATGATGCTGTTTTCTGATGACGTGATTGTACCCTTTAACTGATTTCCTGCAGACTATCTAAAACAAAAACCTTGTCGATATTTTTGTATTTTGGACAGAGAAGAGAAAAAAAAAAACAACTCTCAGTTGTTCTTTGGCCACAATCTGTTTTCCATTGGGGGAGATTCCTCTTTACTTCCTGTCCCAAAAACATAACAGGAAATGAGAGGAAATCTGTCCCAAGTGTGGGAAATAACATTTTTGTCACCAGAACAAGTGTCTAGATTTCTCCTCCTATTTTTCTTACATCACCAAAAAATTCCTAGCACGCTTATTAACAATTTGTATTCATGAGATTTTAGTTCCACAACATTAGTAAACATATGGAAGCCGCACTGCCTCGTCTATGTGTAAAGAATCTAGAAGAGCCTGCTTCATGTAGCACATCTAGCAGGTATGCCTGGAGGCAGCTCATTCCTCGCTTGGGGAACAGGAACACATTAGAAGCTGGGTGTCTTCAGCTGCCGTTGTGCTCTGCTCAGGGCCGGATTCCCGGCAAGACCACGGAGGCCCGGCCTCGGGGTGGCATGGAGAAGAGGGGCGGCAGACGTTTCAAGTCACCTGACGGCCGGAACATGGAGTTCCGGGCGATAAGTTGTTTTCTACATTTAGCCCTGCTTTGCACAAGCAGGGCTAAATGAAGAATGGGGGAAGGCGCTTGTTTCTTTACAAGTGATCTTGGCGATGCCGCCAAGATCACTTGTAATAACACTGCAGACTGTCCCCCCCCCCGCACCTACCTCTCTTCATTCTGCATCCTCCCGGCTCCGGCTCCCAGCTCTATCCTCTCCTCGCTGGCCGCCGACGTCCCTCAGGATGGAGAGCGGTGAGCAGAGCGGCAGGGTTAGAACTAACACTGCCGCTCCGTGTATACAGTGAGAGTGGAGAGCCGTCTTCCTCTCTCACTTGTCACAGGAGTTCCAGCACAGTGCTGCACTGGAACTCCTGTATTGGAGGTGACAGGGTCAATAAAGAGAACCTGTCCAATTGCTATCGCACAGGGGATTGTTAGCTCCTGTGTAATAGCAATAAAGTTAAAGCTCTGCTGGCTTTGTCTGTGTCCCTATGCAGACACAGTCAGATGGAAGATCAATCTGCCACTGCTCAAGAAATCCCCATCAACCTGTGGAGAGCCCGTGTTGTCTTGTACCAGTCTTGCCACTCTCCGTTCTGCCCTAACATTGACTATTCGCTGACGGCCACAAACCCTGGTTGAGAAAGGATGCATTAGTGCCTTGGTTCTCAACTGGTGGGTCGTGACCCAAAAGTGGGTCGCGACCCCGTGTTCAGTGGGTCCCCATGTGCATTCCACTTTTCTAGGTGAGAGGTTCCTCAGCCTCCCCCTAGCGCAGCACTGTCAGTTCTTGTGCCAAGCAGCCATTCAAAATATGCCGCCCGGTGCCGAGTGTCAGCTTGAGGTGGGCTGGGGGTATGGCCGCCAGGGACCTCCATCCATTCTTGCATTGCTTACAGCTCCCTCGTGTGTCCTGTAGAAGTGCCTGGACGGGAGTAACATCACAATCTGGCTCCCAGCACCTGTACAAGGAGCGCAAGGAAGCTGTACAAGTGGATGCACATATGGATGGAGCTCAGTCACAGCACAGCAGCCTACACTGCGTTCCATTGCAGTGCAACTTGGGTCACGACTTGGTGAGCAAGGACAAAATGTGGGTCTTGAGGTTACACAGGTTGAGAAAGGATGCATTAGAGGAACCATTCTTAAACCAATGCACCGCGCTGAACCTCTTAACAGTATATCAAACAAAAATTGTGTCTAAATGCTGAAAACAAATATATTCAACCTCCAATAAATAATTTAAATCCAAGGTGATAAAGTTCGCAGTGTAAGTCTCTTATGAGACTTGATAAGTGTTCCATAAATCAAATAGTGCATAAGTGTTCATATACAGTAATATCAAACAGTGCTCAAATGCAGATACATGTTCATATAAATCAGTATGATATACTGCGATTTGGGAACGAATGCCTCTAAGAAAATCACGGAGTGTCTTCCTTCGATGATCAATCTCCTCCAGTATATCATTTTGACACTTATCTTATTGGTATCCATTTAGTGCGTATTAGCTGTTGAAAAATTAGAGGAACCATTGCTTTGCGTGACTGTCGGTCTTTGCTAACACCTCTCCATCTTTCAGGCATAATCTCAGTCTTCTCTGTCCTCTAGGAGAATATTGAGTTGGTCCAGAAACAGTGCATCCACCTGGAGTATCCCTTACTGGCGGAGTACGACTTCAGGAACGACACCATGAATCCAGACATCAACATCGACCTGAAGCCCACCGCCGTCCTCCGACCGTACCAGGAGAAAAGCCTGCGCAAGATGTTTGGCAATGGGCGCGCTCGATCTGGCGTGATTGTCCTGCCTTGCGGTGAGGATTTTATCATCTGACTGGTGGCGTGGCATTGGTTGTAAGCTCTCAGCCAATAGATTTGGGGACCTGGAATTCAGGTCCTGGAATGGCAGAGCCACTGAGTGGTCATCTATGTTGGAGTTCAGGAGCCCAAGCCAGTGACTGCCTGATCAGTACCATAGCGCTGGTCTCATAGGCTGTGTTATAGCTGAGGGTACAGAATAAAAGAGCTTTCCCCCAAAACTAGCCACATAACAACCCTAGTGTAATCTCAGAAAATGTGGCTACAGCTGCCATGCTTCTAACAGTGGCCAATGTGAACTAAGGTGAAACTGTGGGCAGCATCACAAGTGACATATATGATGCAGCCTGTCACTAACAGGAACACATTCCCCTTTGTAACATAGTTTTATTACTTTTTGATCCTGCCAGTAGATCTGTTATTTTTCCACTTCTTTTAACAGACCAAGCTGTCCAGCGAAAGTGACCATCACAGAAGTTGGGACAAACCATTTAACAATGACAGGAGTGCTTACAACAGTCGGCATGTATTGCCTGCTGTAAAACCTTTTTTCTTAAAGTCAAAAATAAACCTGTTGCTGTAGCTGCCTGAAAAGTGTTGGAGTTTAGAAGAAGATCCAATGTGTCACCAGCACACCAGAATAGAACTTTCAAAGGCCTCTTTACAGACGCATGTACATCATGTCACAAAGCAGGAAACGTTTCATCATCCGCTCTGTGTCTCGTCATCATGGTCCATGTCATATTGTGCCTGATAAAGGGACACAGAGTGGCCCCCGAAAGGTTGCCGCCTTTGTGACATGATGTGCATGCGTCATATTTGGACATTCTATTCTGGTGTGATGCCATATGCAGCCACTTTAGCGCCCATCTACAAGGGGCATACTGGCAAGGAGTGTGGTGAGAGGCCCGTTGGAATTTAGAAGACCCGTGTGAAAACAGTCACAAGCGCTAAAGTGGGTTCAGCCTGCAAACCTCAATTTCTATTTTAATTATGAGATTACACACAAGTAAAAAGTCCATCACCCTTCCCTATTGACCTCCACCCATTTGTGGACTGATATATTCTATATATATATACACTGAGTGGCCAGATTATTATGACCGCCATCAGTACTTCGTTGGGCCGCCTCGTGACTCCACGAGATGATGAAAGGTGATGCGAGGAATCTGACACGGCACTGTGGCCCTTCTGTTGTCTTGCACCAGTCTTGCCCCTCCCCCGTTCTGCCCTAACATTGACTAGTCGCTGACGGCCACAATTCCCACGTTCAGACCCAGATTTTCGGCTGACAGTTCAGTCTTTAAACACTTTAACAACAGCTGCTCTTGAACATACGAAAATCGGTACGGTTTTTGGCAGGTTTTCCAGCTAGCTTGGAAGACGAATGTCGTGCGACCGTACAGTAGATGCGGCCACACGCTGCCCATACACCTGCCGATTATCGTACTTTGCGGGATCACCTGCGATTATCGTACGATAATCGTCAGGTGCATGGGCACCTTTACACAGAAAAAACAGGGACTTACAGTGCACAGTTGATCTGATTCAGGTGCTCTCTTCCTCTCCTGGTGGGGGTGTTGGGGGGAGGGTCATCAATGCTGCCTCCATGTGACAAGGTGAAGCCTTCAGCAGCGTAGTTGAGCCTCCTTTCAGGTCCCACACTGCAGAAATGTACAGAGGTCAGCAGGATGACGCACAGTACAGAGTTCAGTAATGTAACGCACAGTACAGAGGTCAGTAATAAAGCACAGTTCAAAAGTCAGCAGTGTAAGGCAGAAATAATGCATGGTACAGAAGTCGGCGGTGTAAGGCAGAAATAACGTACAGCGCAGCGATCACCAAGAACGCACAGAGCAACGATCACCAAGAACGCACAGAGCAACGATCACCAAGAACGCACAGCGCAGCGGTCAGCAAGAATGCACAACTCAGCGGTCAGCAATAGCACACAGTGCATCGGTCAGCGAGAGAGCACAGTGCAGCGGTCAGCGGGAGAGCACAGTGCAGCGGTCAGCGAGAGCGCGCAGCGGTCAGCGAGAATGCACGGCGCATCGGTCAGCGAGAGCGCACGGCGCAGTGGTCAGCGAGAACGCACGGCTCAGCGAGAACGCACAGCGCAGAGGTCAGCAGTTTCAGGCAGAAATAACAGGGACTTACAGTGCACATGGCTGGTGTGCCCTTTTCTTCTCCTGGTGTGTGTGGGGGGGGGAGGGGTACATCGATCTGTCCGACATCACTCCTGTCCGACGTGAAGCCTCGCTTCAGGTCCCGCACTGTCCTGCCATCCACCCAATCACAGCTCTGCAGTCTTCCTCCCAGCCTATAGCAGCTAATGTGGGCGGAGGAAGACTGCAGATGACTGACAGCCAGCTGAGCTGAACTTTCTCCCGGCTCTTCTCCTCTTCAGCCGCTGCAGCTATAGAGTGGGCGCAGAGGAGAAGAGAAGGAGGAGAGATGACCGCGTGATCGCCGCTGCTGAAGCAACGGCAGATTCCTTTCTCATACTGCCGGCGGCGCCCCCCCCTCCCCCCGAAGAGTTTCCACTCGCCCCCATGCAATTTTCACTCGCCAATTGCGAAGGGGCGAGTGGAAATTTTGAGCCCTGTGTGTGTGTATATATATATATTTTATACACACACTATTTTTTTTTTTCTATTCCAGTTCTGAAAACCTCAGGCTGGTCATGTGATGCTGCAGGGTCCTTTTCACCTCTTTGCAGGCTAGTGGGTTCATACTGATGTATCATGTGAGCGTTGCTCATTGCATCAGTACACTAATAATGAAGGGCACCGCAGTGACCTCACCTCTGGGGGCGGGGCGATGACATCCTGCACTCACAGTATGTGCTCAGTCTTCCTGAATGGTGCTGGGTGTCATTCCACCCACAAGACTGAGGACATCTTGTGGTGAAGAAGAGGTACTGTGGAGGACGAAGCTGCCATGGTCTGGTAATATCTGCAGTCCAGTTAATGATTTTAAAACATGGGAAAAACATGTGTCTGTTTGTTAGAATTGATGTCTTGTATTGATTTCTGTGTTTTTGCCAGGTGCGGGAAAGTCTCTGGTTGGCGTCACGGCGGCCTGCACGGTCCGGAAGAGGTGTCTTGTGTTGGGGAATTCTGCCGTTTCAGTGGAACAGTGGAAAGCGCAGTTTAAGATGTGGTCCACCATTGACGACAGCCAGATATGTCGCTTTACATCAGACGCCAAGGACAAACCCATCGGCTGCTCTATCGCCATCAGCACCTACTCCATGTTGGGGCATACCACCAAGAGGTCCTGGGAAGCCGAGAGGGTGATGGAGTGGCTAAAAAGCCAGGAGTGGGGTCTGATGATTCTGGATGAGGTGCACACCATTCCAGGTAAATTCAATCAGAACTGGTCCTTTGCTTTCCCCATCAGTAAAGCCACCTTGAGCAATGCCATGCCGCCATCACTGAAAATCACTGGTGTCTGCAAAGTGGCTGCAGCAGATCAGCAGCACTGAGATCCAACAAAGGATGAAAAAGGGATAAAAACAAAAGGCAATAATGTAACTGTTTGATACAGAGCTTGGTGTCATTCAGATCGTTTACATCTACTAATCAGGCTGATGTGTACAGTTCTATTCAATCATTTCTTTTCTTTTCGGCCATGTCTAGCTAAGATGTTCCGTCGTGTCCTGACCATCGTCCAAGCGCACTGCAAGCTCGGGCTGACCGCCACATTGGTCCGAGAAGATGACAAAATTGTCGACTTGAATTTCCTGATTGGCCCCAAGTTATACGAGGCGAACTGGATGGAGCTGCAGAACAACGGCTACATTGCTAAAGTGCAGTGCGCCGAGGTGAGTGGTTTTGTTTCAGAACGGCAAGCCTATTACTTTAAGCACTTAACACAAACATCCTATCCGAAAGTGGCGTCAGAAGGGGGGGGGGGGGGGGCCCCCACACGGGGGCCCCCCTGAAGGGGGGGGGGGGTGTGGCCCGCCACCGGGTGACCCCCATCAGAGAGGGTGACACCAAAATGACTGATAGTCATTTTGGTGTCACCCCTTCTGAAGAGTCAGACACTCGGTCAAGGACCAAGAGCCCGACAGTTGCGTGAGAGAGAAGGGGACCCGGAGGCATACCTTATACCGCCGAGTGAACGTCCCCTCCTCTCTCTGCCGGTATCCATCACAAAGATGGCCGCCGGCAGGTAAGCACGCGTGACATTATGTTGACGTCCCAGTGGGGTGTCACCTGACGGCCGTCCGGGTGACACCACGCCTGGGGACGCCTCTGCTATCAGCAGTCAATAAGCCTCAGTAAGTGATAATAAACTAAGCAGCTTTTACAAATCTTCAATAATGTATGCTCCGTACCTGTCGGCCATTGTCACTGATTCCTGCTGCATCAGTCTGTCCTGTTATCAGGATAAACCAGCCATTGTACGCTCGCCCCTCCGGCATCACAGGAGTGAGCACTGTCCTTGTTCAGAGCCCTGCACAAGCGCAGTGCGCTCCCTCACTGTCGCAGCTGCTGAGCTCTGCAACGGCAATAGAAAACTGAGCACGCTATTACATTTTACAGTTGTCACCAGACGAGTGGGAAATCTTCCAATGGGAACACCTGCTCCGAAAACCATTAAGAAGATTTCCTCTCACTTTGCTTAGTTTTCCTTTCCTGCCCTGTTGTATCCCCTGAACAGTGACGAACTGTAAAACTCAGACGGCACAATGAAAACATCTTTTGAGTTCTGCACATTCCCTTTCTAAAACCGTTTTAGCTCTACTTTAGAAATATCTTTGTAGAGTTAAAGGAGAACTATGGGGTCAGGGCTTTTCCCCATAGTTCTCCCGTCACCCAAAGCTCAGTATACCGCGACCTATAGCTCGCGGTATACTGAGACGCCGCAGCTGAAGCGGATCCCGACAATTGTGTCTGGATCCGCCCAGCTGCGTGACTGACAGCCGGCTCTGCCTATCTAGAGGCAGAGCCAGCTGTACCCGCCCCCTCCCCCGTCCGTTCCGCCAGTCAGCGCTGGCGGCGCAGCGGAGGGGGGAATCCAGCCCCTCCCCTGTCACAGCAGAGAGCCGTGACAGGATCGAGAGGTGAGCGAACGCCGGTATGTGTTCACTCACCTCCCGATCTACTGAGCCGTCCTGTGACAGTCTCATTGTCACAGGTCGGCTAGAACTATGAGGTGAGTGAAAAGCACTCACCTCATACTTCTCCTTTAAGCTAAAAAAGAGCTAAAATGATATAAAATTATTAAAGTTTTTATGTAAGCCCTAAAAAATATATATTTGTTTTGTATCACCATGCACCTTTTCTTCCTTCATTCCCTTTCCCCTTCCTTCCTTTCACCCTTCCTGATCCCACTAGTAACAGCACTTCCTGCTGCAGGCGATGCCTCTAATTGTGCACGGGTCCTTAGTTGGCCGCTGGGCTGCCTATCGGGCGTGCAGGAGGAGAGCACATGGCACACTGACAGCACTGCTGCTAACGAGTCAGTGGATTGGAGTGGAACTGAACACAAAAAGTGAAGATTTGCTGTGTTATGGGAACATCTAGAATTGTTGATTGTCTCTCAGCAGCACTGTAATAGGTCTACCATTCTAAATTCCTTCTGGAAAATAGCCGCGCACTTCCTACTATGTGAGTGTGCCCAGGCACTCCTGTGCATACAGCTTCATAGCTTTATATGTGCAGTGTGAGATCTAAGGCACTGTTGCTTCTGACCGCTAGTGTCAGAAGATTTGGTGATGTCACTCCTTTGCTGCTAAGGCCCGGTTCACACCTTGGCGTTTTGTAGCGCGTTCCTACGCTCTGCAAAACGCTCAAACACCGAAATCCCATTATTTCCTATGGGTATGGTTCACATTTGGGCGTATTACAGGCCGTATGAACGCGCTACAAAAAGCCCTACGCCCAAAGAAGTACAGGAGCTTCTTTGGGGCGTTTTTGTCGCGCGTTTCCATTGGGATACAGCCAATTTTAACCGCGAATCGCGCGACACGAAACGCGTGTTACCGTTCTCTTTGCTGGAGGATCTGACTACCATAGTTCCTTAACCCCTTCGTGACTGACGACGTACAGTGTACGTCGCCAGCATCGGGGCTGTTTAAACAGACTCCCGGCGACTTACCTGTCGCCAGATCGCTTCTGTGTCCCAAAGAAGGGCCCCCCACCTTTAAAGAGTACCTGTCACCACCATCTGCTATCACATGGGGGGGCTTGTAGGCTTGTAAGCCCCCCCATGTGATAGTAGTCAAAGTAAAGTTAAAAAGTTTTTTAAACTTAAATCAAATAAATCTAATAATGAAAAAAACATTTTTTAAGTCCCCCACGAGCACGCGCGTCGCCACGTAAACACACGTCGGGTGCGCCTACGTATGAAAACGACGAACGCGCTACACATGTTGGGTATCGCCGCGCACGCCGGACTGAGAGCTGTGGGGGCTTTTAAAGCGTCTTCTATGGACTGTTTGGGGTACTGCAGTTATTCGCCGTTTCACGGACGCACGCAATTTGTAAACTGGGCATGTTGGGTATCGTTTTACTCGTTGTAACCTCATCTTTTATATTCATTAAAAAAATGGGTATTTTATTGTGTTATGGGGCATTTAATTACATTTGTCACTAAATTTTGGGTTTAATAAGGAGTTGTGCTAATATTGCGCTACATAAAAATTTGCAACTACCACCATTTTATTCTATAGGGTCTTGGCATTCAGAAAATATATAATGTTGGGGGGTTTTAAGTAATTTTCAGGCCTAAAATTTGGAATATAACATGGGTGCAAAAAATGGAAAAAAGGCCTCAGTCATGAAGGGGTTAATTAAAATTTCAGGGCCACAAAATGTGAAATTAAATTGACCAACATCCTAAATACTTTTTAATGTTCACTGAAATGTTTGTATCGGGGTAGGCAACCGTGGTACTCCAGCTGTATTAAAACTACAAATCCTGTCATGTCTCTGGGAGTTCTACCGTGTTTCCCCGAAAATAAGACAGTGTCTTATTTATTTTTTTTTGCACGAAAAAAGACACTAGGTCTTATTTTCGGGGGATGTCTTACCTGGCTGGGGGAGGACTGGACGAGGTTCCGGAAGGCGGCGTGCTGTTGCCGGTCCCGGAGGATGTCGCTTCCATCGTGCGTGCGGGCGGGAGCTGCGGGCGTGTGGGCGGGAGCTGCGGCTGGCGTGTGGGAGGGGCTGGAGCTGCGTCAGACTGTGGTGGGCATGTGGGCGGGAGCTGCGGCCGGTCTTTACACAGTTTATGTGCAGCTACCCCAAAAGTAAGACCTAGCGCTATCTTCAGGGATAAGACCTACCACCGAACTAGGTCTTATTTTCGGGGTAGGTCTTACTTTCGGGGAAACACGGTATCTGTGGCTGTTAGATCCTAGCAATGCATCATGGGACTTGTAGTTCCACTTCAGCTGGAGTGCTGAGGTTGCCCACCCTTGGTTTTTATAGACTGTAATACTGTGCAATGACTGCATTGTCAGCTGTCTTCTGTCCACTAGAGGGCGCCGTGTGTCCGCACACTTCCTATGCATGCAGCAGGTGTAGAACATGTTCTGGGAACTTAATCTTTTATTTTTTTGGGATGTAGAAATTGGCTTTGTGTTCCGTTTTCTCAAGCTGTGAGACTGTAACATTTGCAGTTCTTTTCCACTTTGTATTATTCAGAGTGTGAAAGCGGAACAGCCACTTTATGAGGATAAATAAAAATAGTTGCGGATACCTGGAGGGGCGAATGTAAATATATTTATAGTATAATAGAGACCCCTCGGCATTGTATGCAGCTGATACATCTGTTTATAATAGGAGTTTGAATCGGGTTTTATTATGTTCCTTCCCATTGCTGGCTAACAGGGCTGAGTGCCAGGAAAGTTTATTTTGGGAACTCTTTACACCTGAGCTGGTGATATCGCATAACCCCGGTGTGATTACGGAGAACAGCCCCCCCTTTGTGCAGAATAGTCTCATTAACCTGTTTCCCCGAAAATAAGACCTACCCCGAAAATAAGACCTAGTTGTGACCATTCCCAGGGAGGGTGGTGGCATAAGGGGGAACTCGAAGAGCCGCGAGAGAGAATCAGCGATGCCATTGAAGCCAGCGCTAGAGGAAGCGAGGCGGCACCGGAGGGAGCAGAGCCGCATAACCGATGCCTCCTCTATAGCGCCGGCTCCTGTCACAGGCGGAGTGATACCAAATGCACTCCACCTGTGAGGAATCCATAGTGAAAGTGCGCTTCGCTCATTCTGGCCAACGATTGGTTAGCAAATTGCTCTTGGAAAGGTACGGCACCCCTGATTGCCCTGATCACCATATTGTTGTACATAAAAAAACAAACAAAAATAAGACCTAGTGCGTTTTTTTTGAGCCAAAACAAAATTTAAGACAGTGTCTTATTTTCGGGGAAACACGGTATATATGAAGTTCGCATGCCTCCAACAGCCATATACAAAGGAAAGAATGCAGAACTCTGGGCAAATCCAATCCTAACCCCTGTAAGGGGGGGGGGGCTACCCCAGCACTGCAAGGGTTAGGTGCTAGTTTTGTCTAGAAAACTAAAATACCAGAGAGTAGGTATCTTGCTGCACTCCTTACCGGAACAGTGGCTACCCTGTATGTTATGTATGATACAGCCCCTATAACGGACAGCTATGACATACTTCAAAGAAGAACTCCGGGCAAATCAAATCCTAACCCTTGCAAAGGGCCAAATGAAATCTTAAAGGAGAACTATGAGGTGAGTGCTTTTCACTCACCTCATAGTTCTAGCCGACCTGTGACAATGAGACTGTCACAGGTCGGCTCAGTAGATCGGGAGGTGAGCGAACACATACCGGCGTTCGCTCACCTCTCGATCCTGTCACGGCTCTCTGCCGTGACAGGGGAGGGGCTGGATTCCCCGCTCCGATCCTCCAGCGCTGACTGGCGGAACGGACGGGGGAGGGGGCGGGTACAAATGGCTCTGCCTCTAGATAGGCAGAGCCAGCTGTCACTCACGCTCAGGCGTCTCGGTATATAGGGAGCAGAAGCTCGCGGTATACTGAGCCTAGGGTGACGGGAGGACGCTAGTTTGTGTCCTCCCGTTACCCTAAGGAGAACTATGGGGAAAGCCCTAACCCCATAGTTCTCTTTTAACCCTTGCACACAGCACACCTCCCAATGACCTTACATTGGGGGCGGACCCTTTCAAAGAAAACAAAATATTGAGGGGGCCCCGGTCTAAAATGTAAAGACTGTGAATGTAAAAAAAATGACCTGGGGTCCCTCCAAAATCCATACCAGACCCTTATCCCAGATGGGAGTCTGGTATGGGTCTTAAGGGGGAACCCCACACATGAGAAAACAGTCAGAGTGCACCTTTCGCATAAGAGGCTTCAATTGCACTTTAAGGGCTTCCTTTTTTTTATATGAGGAAATAAAATGTGTATGTGTGTGTGTATGTGTGTGTGTATGTGTGTGTGTAACAGTGTATATATAATCAGGCTGCACGTTGGCATGTCACAAGTATGCACTTATGTTTTCTCAGTTCCTAGGAAACTAGGGGATTTCTTTTACATGCCCGGAGTGCATCTTCATCTATTTCCCTTCCTTCTCATCTTTCCTTTTTTTTCTTTTTTCTTTTTTTGTGTTAATTAAATCCGTCTCTTCTTCTGTTTCTATTTGTTTTGGTTTTCCATTCTCCATTCTGTGTTTCTGAAAACATTGTAATCACATCTCCCCCAGTCACCGTTCCAAGTTAAGCTCCCGAAAGCCGCGGTTAAGACATTTTATATTCTCAGCCACCCGGCCGATGAAAGAAAAACCCGTTATTGTCCCCCCGCACTCGTCTTCCATCCCCAATTAGGCGATCGCTCGCTTCTATTCAGACACATCCTCTCCCGGACAAATGATACTGTGTGCCTATGATGTCCGCCCGACTTCCGTTAACCACGCCGTGCTCTCTGCCTTCTCTCCCCCCCCCCCACTGCAGGTCTGGTGCCCCATGTCGCCCGAGTTCTACAGAGAGTACGTGGCCATCAAGACAAAGAAGCGCATTCTCTTCTACACCATGAACCCAAATAAATTTCGTGCTTGCCAGTTCCTGATTAAGTTCCACGAGAGGAGGAACGACAAAATAATTGTGTTCGCCGACAATGTCTTCGCGCTGAAGGAGTACGCCATCCGGCTGAACAAGTAAGTGGACCGGCATGTCAACGAGCTCCGGGGGCTTTGCCAGCGGTTATAACCATGAATAGTTACTTTGTATTTTTAGGTAACGGCTTCAAGGGGGTCCTGGCGTTGGCTGGAGGCCGAGGGCAGGAGGATCTTTATTTTGCCTGGGATTTCGCGGGGCCGTCATTCACTTTTAGAGAAAGGCCTTTACCGACCAATTTGGGAAATCTCGAGTTCCATGTTTTTTTGTTTCGTGCTTTTCGGGCTATAAATAGGAGCCGCGGGCGCCACCGCTGGGTTTGTACGAAAGTAGAACGTTCAATTGTCTATTTTGATGCCGTGATTTGCATTTGAGGGATGCCAGCGGTGTGGTCAACAAGATGTAATTACGTGGAGCAAATGTTTTATAAGCACGCCCGTCAGTCCCCCAGGGTTTAAATGGCTGTCGGTAACATGACTGGTCTAAAAAGGGACTCGGGTTGTTTCTAGTCTGCTGAGCTGTTTGGGCTTTAAAACTGAACTCCAAGCGGCTAAACACACAAATATATACATACACCTTGATCAGCCATAACAATATGACCACCTGCCTAATATTGAGTAGGTCCTCCTTTCCGGACCCCTCCAGGCATTGACCCCACTAGACCTCTGAAGGTGTGCTGTGGTATCTGTCACCTAGTTGTCAGTAGCAGATCCTTTAAAGGAGAACTATGAGGCGGGTGAAAATCACTCAGCCTCATATTTCGAGCCAACGTGTGACAATGAGACTGTCACAGGTCGGCTCAATAGATCGAGAAGTGAGAGAACACATACCGGCGCCCGCTCACTTCTCGATGTATCCCTACAGAGAGCCGTGACTGTCACTCACGGCTCCCTGCAGGGATTCCCCCCCTCCCCGCTCTGATCCTCCAGGGCTGGCTGGCGAAACGGACGGGGGATGGGGCGGGTACAGCTGGCTCTGCCTCTAGATAGGCAGAGCCAGCTGTCACTCGCGCAGCTGGGTGGATCTCGACAGTAATGTTGGGATCCGTCACAGCTGCGGCGTTCTCAGTATACCGCGAGCTGTAGCTCTCTATATACTGAGCCTAGGGTGACGGGAGGACGCTAGTTTATGTCCTCCTGTGACCCTGAGGAGAACTATGGGGAAAAACACTGACCCCTTGGTTCTCCTTTTAAGTCCTGTAAGTTCTGAGGTGCGGCCTCCATGGATCGGACTTGTTTCTCCAGAACATCCCACAGATGTTCTATTTGGATTGAGATCTGGAGAATTTGGAGGCCAATTCATCACTTAAAACTCATTGTTGGGTATATTCCAAGGTGACAATTCTAGCATTCATGGGCCTCAGATTGTGAAAGAGTTGTTCAGGGATCATGAGACATCATTGTCACACATGGATTGGCCACCACGGAGTCCAGACCTCAACACTATTGAGGATCTTTGGGATGTGCTGGAGAAGACTTTATGCAGAGGTCCGACTCTCCCATCAGTGTTCCCATACTATAACCCCCCTCCCCCTACTATACCCCCCCCGTACTACACCCCATAGTATACCCCATGCTCTACCCCTACGCTATACCCCACAGTACACCTCATACTATAACCCATACTATACCATGACATATAAACTCTGTATTGACTTCATATTAATATTGAAATGCAGTCATCAAAAGCAAATTAAGACAAAGAGACCCCCGATCATTTCCAGGATAGTACATCCCGCAGATCACAGGTGAGTACATTTTTTTTTTCTGGTTAGTTGAATTCCGGATAGCAGAGAGTTTGCTGTACTTTTATTTCATGTCATCCTTACTGGTGTCTGGTTTTGTTCTTTAGTTTTCTGAACCAAGTGTTACATTGATTTATATAATATATATTTTTATCTTTTAATGTCACATGTTAGCCCTGAAGAAGGGAACGGAGGTACAGCCTGCCCAAAACGCGTTAGCTTTCTAAACAAAGTATCATTTGGATAGGAATATGACGGAGTGGCACTTCAGTTCTAGATTGCTCATCCTTAGCCCTACTCGAGGGGGTTGTGGAAGCCCCACTGTGTGTAGAAGCCGCCAGCCCAATATTCAGACTCTCTCCATCATTACCGTAACATTGGGTGACAAGAATAATATAAAACAAACATATGAAGTATCTTTCCGGTTTCCAGTGCCTCGAATTCTCCTTCCCAAGCTGGCCAGACACCCTTCTCCCGGCATCTGGCGGTCTGTGAAGATGACCAGTTTAGACAGAAGTTGCTGGTCCAGACAAGTGCCGACCACACTCTTTGTTTGGGGGTCAGCACAGCGACTGTTTGAGAGCCGCCAACCATTCAATCCCTCTAATGACTGATTACAATAAATGTCCCCCAACGTTCCGCTACATTGATTCTTCTTCTCTATGGACACTTTTATTATCCATCTGCTGACCCATACAACAAGGGCCCCGGGTTTTTTGTTTCATGTCCCCCATGAATGTTCTTCCTTTTCCAGAAGCTTCTGAATGGAAAAGTTGGAATGCTGAAAAAATAATTGATTTTTGTGTTTGTTTTTACCAATGTTGGGGTGCAGCAGGAACTGTGTCTCACTTAGTGCCCTGGTCACACCATATCCAGTGCGTCCCGCTGTAGTTCGCGCCCAGAACGCACTGGATCGCATACATGAAGCCAGGCAGCGTTCTGGGGCAGGAGGGCGCATTTCTGTGCCATTAGTGTCAATGGCACCGCAGACACACCCCCAACCCCGTACCCCCAAACTCCCCACCCGGCCCGCAGTGCGATCGCATGCACCGGAACACGAGGAACAGGAATGCCCTTCCAGTGCAGTGCGATCTGAAAAGATTGCTGCATGCTTTATTTTTTTCAGATCGCACTGCATGGAAGGAAGGGCATTCCTGTACCTCGCGTTCCGGTGTTCTATCCAAGTTTGTGACTGCATTGGAATGTATGACCGGTCACGTGGTCACACATTTTTATCCTAATCCCGCCCAGTTTTTCGGCGGTGGAATGTGTGACTGGTCACATATTTTCACGTAACCCCGCCCAGTTTTTGGGTGGTGGAATGTGTGACCGGTAAAAGGTGAAGAATTCCAACGCTTTCTCAGCTGTTCCAGGGCAGATCGGCATCGCAGATGGTATGTGCAGGAGAACCGATCTGCCCTGGAACAGCTGATCGGTCCTGAAATGTCACTTCTATCCGACTTTGTGGAATGTGAGATCGCAGTCAGAGTCAGATAGAAGTTCTCCTGCACATACCACCTGCGATGACGATCTGCCCTGGAACAGCTGAGAAAGCGTTGGAATTGTTCTCGTTTTGTCACACATTTTAATGTAGTCACAACCTTTGATAGAACACCGGGGAGGGGGGGGGGGGTACGTTCCGGCTGTGACATGCACCAGGACGCACTGGATATGGTGACTGGGCCCTTAAAGTATAGCTAAACGCAAGAACAAAAATGTCATATTTTGCCGCTAACCCGTCCTCCGATGTGGCTGCATTCATTATACGGGTTGAAAGTGATATTGGAGTAGATGGCATCGGCAGTCCATCTGTTAGCTGTAGTTATCGGTGACCCCGCTATTCTCCAGTGCACTAAAGCAGTACAACTTGGTCACCAACCCGATCCCATGGGGAGTATCTGCACTCTGCTCTCTCCTCCTGCGGGCAAGAATCCAGCGTACAACTGACAGCACTGTGCAGTACAGCAGCGCTTGGTTGGCTCGCAGTGCTACCCCTCACCTCTTTCAGAGTCCTGCTGTTCATGGGGATTACAGGAAGCTGATATAAAGACAGACTTGGGTACTTTTCCTACCTGTATAAGGAGCTGTAATGAATTCATCTTTAATTTTCGGCTCTCAGATATTGATTTCCAGGTGCAGTTTGCAGCCGTCTGGTGCTGCTCAGTGCGGATCATTAGAGGCATTCCTGCTGAGATGGATCCTGTAATCTGTCTGAGGGGAGATTAGGAAGGCCGCTGGAGGAATGTTGTTTGGTTGTGATCGCTGTTCCGTGCAAGCGGGCAGAGAGCGCGCCGCTGGAGCCGCGTCTGATAAACTGTCACATTTACATCCTAATTTGGGGTCTGGCTTTTCTCCGTCCCCCCAACACAGACCTTCTCACAGGGAAGATTTACCCAGAAATGCGTTTATCACAGCGTGGCTGTAATACACATTATACTGTGCGTTACTGTGCAGCCA